GGTTATTCACTCTTCTTTTCGCACAAGCTAGCTGGCTTAATCGAGCAAACGTTTCTCGTGTTCCATACGGTTCGACGGACATTTCTTATAACGATTATTACTTTGCTTCTTCGTACTTTCAAACATTCCGCTTATATACCGACATACTTTGTATTAATCTTTAGCAAGGATGAAAACTTTTGCAGATATGGGTTTTTCGGAACGCTATCTACATCTATACGTTTATTCTCAAAGCGGCACAATACATGCAAAACAAATGAGAACGAATATACGTTTATTTTATAAATCAGGCGAGAAATTGAAGGAAGAATTGAAAGGTTTTGAATCACGCTGTCATCAGGGCAATGCGTCAATGCGATAAAAATTATCTATAAATCGTGAGCGGCTAGAGAGTAAATCAAATTGAATGCACACAACTTCCACGTTCCTTACAAAAGCTAACATATTGTGGCTGCGAGGAAAACTGAACGATAAAGACAAAATTTCGCAGTAGTGCGAAAATGAACCGCCTTTAGATGCTTCACCTGACTAAAAAAAAGCCCCGTTAGCCAATCAGGGCTGTAGACTGACTTTCAAGGACAGCTTAGTGCGAAGGAAAGCAAAATATGAAAAAACTAGTGTTGATAAAAAGATAACTCTGGCACAGAGAACACCCCTTCTGCCCTTTTTAAGACCGAAAATTAGAGTGCGGAGTGGAATGTTTGATTTAAAGAACCTGTTGAGCGAACTTCATTTACTTGTTCTGTTCTATCTCGGTAATCTTATTTCGAAAAGTTTGAACCGATAGACGTCATGAAAAACATGACGGAATTAGCGTTCAAAATGTTTCTTTTCTCGGAAGATGAGAGCAGCTTTTCAGATTAAGAGAGCAATCGTTTCCCATTGTTGCAAATAAATCCGGCAAAGTGACAAATATTTCTAACCTTTAGAACCTTCAGAACGATATAACCGTGCTTTTGACATTAGGTTTCTCTTTTGCATGGCATAGCAAATCCATTGCGCGCATAAACATTTATGATGAGACCTTTTTGCTCGTTTTTTATTTGTGACGGCAGAGAAAGGAAAAAAACACTTTCTAAGTATATTTTTAGCGTTTACCATTAATGTCATACCACAAGTTAAACCGTGAAAATTGCCATGTAATGAACTGATGACAAGACAGCGATGAAAAGCAATAAAAATTCAATATAAAAATTTGCGATTTTTTATTTTAGCTTCAACTGGTTCTGCACAAAAGCAGTTCGCTAACATTTGTAAAGCCTAGAAACATGAATCAAAGATTACATTTAACTGCACATGGCAATTATATAAGAGTTACAAACTTTTACTGGAAATAAAAAGAGAACGACAGAGAATGTCATAGGATATAAGACTTTTGTTTTATTATAGATATTGGTTTATGTCATTTCTCATCATCGTTTGTTTTGCCGCATGACCGCTACTGGATTTTTGCAAAAATTCTTCTCTGCCCTTATTTCGCCTAATTTCAATGCATCATCCTCTTAGCAAAACTTAGAAAACATTTCCTTTTTATTTTCACCCTTTCTTTCGTCTAATGCTCATAACTTGTTAAACTACTCTTCCTCTTCTTCCTTCCTTGCAACCGCACTGCATTTATAGGCATCCCAATAATCATCCCCGCTTTCACTTTTCTCTGTTTGGGCTACAGAAACATCGCATTCTGCTGAAACGATGAGTAGAGTAGAGGTGTATGCTTTTAATCTAAAATAAAATGGAAAGAAATGAATAAAAAGTTAATAAACACCAACTTATCTTTCGCATACAGCGAATGTTTCACTATGATGAGGCGTTGAGCGGAGGCATATGCGGCCCTGAAGAATGTAAGCCGCGATATCACTGTTGCCTGCACGCGTTTACCAATGTTCTGCTTCACTGTATGTTGCCGCTTAGCCGTATAAAAGATGTCGTACGCTTGCCGGAATGCCTCGTGGACCTTTCGTGTTGGAAACGCCGGCTTCAGACATTTGCTGATCAAGTTGTCTCTCTTGTCCTTCGTAACTTCACGACTGGCAACCTCTTCGCAAAAGTCTTCTCCTCCAGCTTGAGATCGTTTAAACACGCTTGATATGCTCAGCAAAGTTTTGTATCGTTACCCATTCGTCCACCGATTAGAGGTCTGTTCTTAGATGCTCCTCCAAATAATCGCTGACTTCTTTCAATTCGCATTTGAGTTCCGTCCATGTGCCTGACTGGCTATGCAGCTTCAGTGGAAAATGTTCGCACGTCGCGTAAGCATTGCAGTTATGTTGCAACTATTCTGTAACTGTGCTGTGTTAATATCGACCGGGAAGAGATTGCCGCCTGTAATGTCTGTGGAGAAATGTCGTTGTAAAATTGTAGGGTACTGGCAAACGGGCATGGTACTAAGTTGGAAGGGCTGCAGCCTCTCCGCACCCAGAATCCACGGCTGGGTTTCACCATAGGCATCATCATCATCAGTTTCTGGTCAAACTGCTTCCGGAGACGCTTTTTCTGAAGTTTACACATGAACACATATAGGACGTGTGCGTAATCATGTAGTAATCGTATGCGCTGTACGTTCGCCTTCTATTGTATACTTCCTTTGAGAATTCTCTTACGGCGTCTTTGTTGGGGCTATTTTCGTCACAGACGACAGCTTCGACTACCAGGCCATTTTTTTCAAATTTTTGAAAAAAAAATTAACTCCGGTATACATGCCATATATAAATAATATATAATAATATGTATATATATAAATGTATATATAAATAAAAAATAAATAGTTTAAAATATGAAAATAGATAATATATTTATATTCATGATATGAAAGATATAAAAGTTGAACCTGAAAAGAAACATGAAATATATAATAAACCATAATCATCATCAATTTTTAATTAACAACTACATAACATCGAATGAAGCAACCTTTACTTTTATTTTTTTTACATTATAATTTATTTATATTTGTATATTTTTGCGTAATGAAAATTTATATACTAAATCTTATACACTAAATGTTACTTCTGTTATCACCTCCGTCTTTAGAATCTATGTTTTGTTTTTGTTTTCCTTCTGATATGAGAAGAATAAGCTAAGAACTAAGGAGATACCAACGAGATTTCCAGGGAAACTATATGAATTTCACATAGACTCCTTGTCAATACATAAAATATATACAATTATACTTATTGTTAGTTTCTCACAATTTCTTTCAGTGCGTTTTTCATTCATTTACATATTTTTAATCTATTAGCACAATTGTAATTTTTTAATACAATGTAAAATTTTATTTGTTATTTCACTCTTTTCTGTTTTTTCTTTTAATTTTTTTTATAATACTTTCCGTTTTATTTAGCAATTTTTCGCTTTGTCTAACTTTTTTCTGCGCTTGTAAAATAGCTTCGAGATCTCACTAAAAACCGTTGGCTGGTTTTTTTCCTTTACAAGGATTATAAAAAAAGGTAGCATGTGTTGAGAATAGAGAGAGAGAACAGAGTTGCTTTCAATGCATGAAATCCAATACGAAATTAATCACATTTTCAAGTTAAAGGTTTGTGGAATAAATAAATCATAGTTTGAATAGCTTTGAATAGTTTTCTGTTAAAGATAAAACACTTAGACGATAAAATCGCAAAATTTTAAACAGAACAGAACAAGAAGAAATGCGCAATATGAACGCCAATGTTTGAGAAAAGAATCTGCGTCAGAAAATCAAACAAAAAAGGGTAAAATGACTTCACAAAATAAGGAATTGAAGCTCTATTCATCCAAGTTGGAAAGTTGGAAAGCCATAACCAAGAATTTAATTTAGACATTAAAAAAGAAGATAACGAGGTTAATAAAGTGCCCTCCAGTAAAGATCCATTTAAAACAATGCTTTCGGCATTTTTTATTAATTGTCTCCTTAGTATAAATTTATCAGTACTTTTTTTTTTAACCTCAACATTTTAAAAGAAGATTGAACTAAATTAAATTTTCAGTTTTGTTTGTTTTTATTAATTAATATATGAATTTACGAAGATGTCTCTCCCGTAGACAATTCACACACGTCTGGCAACGGCATGAACAGTAAATAAAGAGCAATTATTTAGTTTCAATTATTTCTCAATTTCCGGCTTCATATGTTTATATCGTAAATAAAGTTCATATTAGAATTGTGCGCAAAACCTAAAAGTACTTATAATATCCATAAGTTGCTACGGAAAATACACGAACGGGATGTTGACAGATTTATTGTTAATTGATCTGACCTCCGCAACATGTTTAATATTATTCTTATTTTGAGCTAGAAGAATCACTATACATAATTAAATGAGCGAGCTTTAATTTCATGCCATATGAGAATAATAAACTGAGCGAGCTTTAATTTGGTGCCATATGAGAATAATGTTTTTGTTTCTATTAAAATATTCCATCTTAATTGTATCGAAAGCTCCTATGTACAAAAAGCTTTTGTTTACATAATTATCAGATATATTCTTTATGGTCGCCCTGTGTTAGCTAATTTTTTTTTCTTTTGTTAGTACAGTTACAAACCACTGAAATCCTTTTCGAAACGTAACACAAAACATTTGCAAACAGCGTCATCTACATCTCAAAGTTATTTAGAAATTCTCATGTTTTCGCATTATTTGTTATTCGGTTGAAAGCAAAAACAACCACTATTGCATTATTTAGCCAATGAAATCACAGGAGTCCGTTTCTAATTGGAAACAATCATGGCGTCTGAAAAGTTATCTCCTTTCTTAATAAAGAAAGAAGAAAGAGAATAGGAACAATGATGCTGCAACCCCCTGAGTATAAAAACAAAAATCACTGAATATCTCACCAACAATCAAATGTTAACTTCCAACTAGATTAGATACAAACACGCTAAGTCAGTGGTACTATACATCTTAACATAGAACAGAAATTAATAATTATTTAATAAGTTAAAAAAAAAAAATAAAAAAAAAAAACTGCGATAAATCGAATGGATATTTAAAAATCTCGAAAAAAATAACTTGAAATATATTATGCAACATCATAGTCATAGTGAACAGTCAGCTTATATGCCAGAAGTACCGTTTCAACCATTGTGGGCCCAAGAGGCGCCCCCACCGCCGCCCATAATGCCGTATCCCGAATTAATCACAGGATTTCCTTGCACAGATTTAGGTAAAAATCAAAATCGTTCAAAACAAAAAATAAGAAGCATTTTGTAAAGAAAGCACAAATTTTCAGCTCTTTGGCAACGTTCTCAAGTCAATAATTTAGTTAATTCGCGTACAAATGGCGGCACACGTCAAACGAATGGCTCTTCGAACGGTTCCATAAACTCCAATGGAACTACGACAATAAAGAAAACCAGACGACGTACAGCTTCCCTGGCTCAGCGAAGAGCTGCCAATATACGTGAACGTCGCCGTATGTTTAATTTGAATGAAGCGTTCGATAAGCTCAGACGTAAGGTCCCGACTTTTGCTTATGAGAAACGTTTGTCACGCATTGAGACCTTACGCTTAGCCATCACTTATATTGGTTTTATGACTGAACTGTTAACGGGTACTCCCACGAAAAGTCGCTCCGCCGATAGTTACGGCACTATGAACGGTCATCATCATCCGACGGCAATACCAGCCCATCATTTACATCCTTCAGCATTTCAAAGAGATTTCGTCTCACCGTACGGGCATAGCTTAGGTTAAATTGCGCGACATTGTTTCTTTCTCTTTTCCTTTGGAAGTTTTGTTAATCATTGTGTTATAATTTGCTGTTTAATAAAATTGTAAAAGTGCTTGACTTTGCTTGGGTTAGTTAATTAATTAAAAAAACACAGCAGACAAATAATTGAAAGAAAAAAGGATCGAGAAGTAAACTTTATATGGATTAATAAAAACGATCGTGTAGGGCTGTTCTTCACTTTTGAAATAAATGTAACGCCCAAGTTAAGGATAATGAACGAATCTTTCCTTAACCAGTTAACCACGAGTTGTCTAAATTTTAAACTGATATCTTATGCTTACACTATTATATGTATCTTCAAGACACAATGTAAGGAACAGATAAGTGCACTTGGCACACTTGACTTGTTGTCTTGCATTGATTGAAAATTTACGCACTACGCAGCCTATCAAAGGATGGACGCATGTGTTGCAAACCTTACAATGGTAATGAAGAAAATTACCTTTCCTTCCTATGGGTACCTTGGTTCCTGAAAATACAAGAGTCACAGAAACCATCCCAAAAGTGGTAATGCATGACGTGCCTGCTTTGTGGTCGCGTATGGTCATGTCGGGTCAATTTGCTTTATGTAAAACCACCAGTCGCGACTGACTTCCTTCTATCTTGACGAGACAGGCAAACAGCTGCAACATAATAATTTGCAAATGCAGCTTACTTTCAGTTGACGGCAAATTTTTATACGTTCACTCTCAGATGCAGGCAATTTTTATACAAATACATGTTCAAGTATTAAGAATTGTAAAGGAGGAAGAAGCAGCATTGTTCTTGTGTGAAATAAGTCTTCTTCAATGTGATGCAATCACCTGCTCCGTCTATTTGGGGTTTTTTTACAATCGACCTGTCGACAAACCACCTGTCTGAATAGCACCGTTTATTAGTAACGCCACTTCCATTTCCACTGCCTTTCCCCTATTCTTCGATTACCGATTATCTATCTTGTCGGAGGACATTAGTTTGACGCAAAAATGAACAATAGCAAATTTAGGTCAAGTAGACCTACATTTTGTATATTAGGCTGTAGCCAAATAAGGAGGAGTAAGCTTTTTTATAAGCCAAGGATGAAACTCGGAGCTTGCTCTCACATCCCGTAAGGCTACTAAAACCGTAAGTAACCGTTTGTTCGGCAAACAAACAAGGTCTAAGGTTTAGTACTTTATGATGAAAAGGACTTTGACAAGAGGATTAATTTTGCCATATTCGGACTACGTCAGTCGATTTTTAAGTGGAAATAAAAATATCACTTTTGGTATTTTATCAAGGGTGCAAGGGTCGTTATCCGTGGCTCTATTTCTCTACTTTCTCTATAACGATTCGTACAAGTTTGTGTCACTAAGGATGTCGCTAACATCGCTTTTGCTAACATCGATCGGCCTATCAGTCTGCAGCAATCGAACAATAGTAACGGAGGAATTCTTGAAAGTATCAGAGAGTGAATCGAAAGTTTTCGGTAAAGGGTTTTCCTTAGCCTATGTCCTAAGAAAGGCATTGTTAAGAAGAAGTAGATCAATTTCGGAGAGAATATTAGAGAGAATATTAGTTGAAAAAGTTCTTTAAACAGTGTCATTGTCAAAGGAAACGAGGTGACTTTCGCTTACTGGTCAAAAGGTGAAATTCAAAATCGTTTCAAGTGTAATGGATTTCAGGTCCCAAAACATCCATTTACGTCCTTGCTTCTGCCTGCAAAAAAAGTAAAACAAACATTTTGTGTTTTGTCAAAATGTTACATAATTGGAGAAGGATTGCATGGTTTTTGTGCCCTACACCAGTTTTGGTACAAGTGTATGGTAAGTTTCTGCAGTTATATGCAACTACCAAGCACATCCTAAAACGATTTAAGTTTATCTATCCATCTGTCCGTCCGTCCGATTTGACACTCTGTGTTCAACGTGCAGATATTTTAATCAAATTTGATACACTGCCGAATTTTGGCCAAAGGACGAACGCCATTGAGGATAATTCGAGTCGAACCTGAAGAGCAATTTCAAAATGGGCGGTAGATCACTGCAGTATCTTTACTTGTTCATCATTCAAAATACATCTGTAATTATCTTAATTATGGGAACTGCATTACAAGCCGCAATGATCGCCAGGTATGCGAAATCATCCTCTTTTTGACTGGGAAGAATTACACCTGGTTTTTTTTTTTCCTTTTTCACTTTTCTGTTGTTTCCCTCCTGATAGAGCTAATAAAGCGTAAAATTATAATTAATTCGACAAGAATAAGTAAAAATCAGGGTAATGCTTACGTAATTGAGAGAAAACTTATTTGCGATGGAAGGGATGTCCCCCACAACCTACAACACAAGCCTTCTGACAAGTGCAATTAGTGTATCGCAGTTCGAGCAAAACAACATTTGATAGTATTTTAATAAATAAATAGAAAAAGAAGAAGAATTCATTATATTACTTACTTACTAACGATTTCATGGTTTAACGCTTTTTAGCTTTTCATTCATTGAAATGCAAAAAGCAAGGCACATAGAGAGGCTACTGAGAGGTTTCCGATAGCTTTGTGACAAGACTCGCTCGACATCATTGCTGCGGCATCAACCCTAACCACCTTGTTATGTTATTACGTATAGTGGCTTAAGCTGTCATAACGCGTAACAATGAACATATTTGCCATAATAATTATTTCAATTCCGAAATGATAGCTAAATATATTAACTTTTGAAAATTGCATAAACAAAAGTCATATTTAATAAGAACAACGGCGCGAAACAACCCTCGTGTTGTCGTGCAAAGCCCATCGCAGTTTGGCGTCAAACGATGAAGGGCTTGATATGTGCAACACTTGTCCTGTGCAATATGTTTTCCTTGTTTTTGTAGATTTCCGGCTTAGAGCATCAGTAACACTTCACGGATTAATAGAAAGTTGTACACTTGTACACAAACTAGGGCGCAATGTAAAGTGTAGCAATTGCAACGATATCTGTTAGATTGAGCGCGTTTTGCTAAAAGGCCGAACGTGAGGGAAATGTTCCGATGAAGTGTTGATATTGATGCAAAGCGGTTTCACGTGCCAGCGATTAGCAATTCATACTAAAAACACGCAGCTATATCAATGACCTAACTTTAGTTGTTGTTGTTGATTTTTTTTTTTCCTCATTCTGGGAAAATAATACAAAGCAAGAAAAGAATTCATCTAGAAAAGTCATTTCCGATAATACATATGTTTGGCTGGCTCTCTAAAGAAGGTGCCTTCAGTTCGGTTCACCTCGCCGCAATTGATTCCCTTATTACTTTACCAACGATTCAGAGAACGTTTTATAGAATGTCTTCGCCTATTACACTGCAAAGTCAAATTCAATCTATGCTCCAATCAGTCGGCATCTATTAAAGCCTACTTAACCAAAGTCCAAAGCGTTTCATTCAAGTCTATATATGTGAGGTCGTTTTTAGACGAAATGCTGATAATAGTGCCAACGTGGACTTGGTCTCATCGTCCTTGCGTGATGAGAACATTAAGTTCAGCTCTCCAGCCACGGTCATCGCGCACATGGGTAATATAACTGTTCAATGACAGAAGATCCAAGTGTGCTGCTTCATGAAATGCATCGGCATCAAGATGCAGAAGCTGGTCAAGACCTTGATGAAACGAACTCAGTCAACTGCCTATCTCCGCTATAGACTCAAGTCCTCAAAGTGAACAGAACGGTATCTGCAATCTCGAAAATCTTTCTTATCTCTAATGTCACTTATATGAGGCACTTTAGTGACTCCCGGCCCATCAATAAATACCCTACGCCACCTTAAAGCTATTCATGCAACGGCCTGCCAATATAAAGTGTTGCATGGGAGAATGGTCGAGAAAGTGGTCCGATCCAAACTATTTTCAATAGCACTCGTCTTTTGGGCTGAAAATCCGTCAGTTCATTTCATTTCATCGAAACATATCTCAATCTGTAAGATCACTCCTCGTATAACGCCTGATATTGATAAGTGATTATAAGCAAAACTATTTTAAAGACATCGCAATGAAAAGTGCGTGAAAAATTTGCCTCGGACGGAGGCAACGGGAGAACCCATTCCCACTAAGTGAGTCTTTATGTGGCAAAAAGGCCTAACTGTCAATGTGAAAACTCGTTCACAATAATAATATGACAGAAAAATTAACCTTACTGGATTTGAACCACTTAGCTCTACTTGTTAGATCCGACCTCCGACCTCATAATAGGCGTTTACCTAGCGACAATGCCAAATTTTTGTTACTTTATGACGCAAATTTGTTCGTACGAATGATTTCATATAAAACTTGATCGTATCAAATTTGAATCAAGTAGCCCTGTGTTTGGGACATGATTGCATATAGGAATTTTCACGATAGATTAAACCCTTATGTGTCAAAAACGTCTCACTGAATAAATATTTAATGATAAAAATTCCCCTATAACAACAAAGCAGGATAAAAATTAAGCATAGAGGATTTGGACTACACACGCCTACTTTCTAGACAGGGCCATATGTAGGGACAAATCAAGTCTAATTTGCGCTTAGCCATGACGGAAGTAAATGGAAAATAGTAAACCCTTTGTCAAGTAAATTAAGTTTGCTACGAGGGCTTCCGTGAAAATTATATAATCGCCTAAAAATAACGCATAGTTTTTGGTATGTTAATGGGCGACTGCATTAAGCAAAGTGAGGTAGACTATCTAATAGTCGGTCTTGCCTGCTTTTATTCTTCATTTCTATTTATTTAGTTATTTATTTTTTATACGATTAATGCCTCGGCGGGGTCGGAAAGGAAGGAGCAAATAGAAACGGATAGGGACAGACTAAGCTCCCCCAGTATAGGTGCGAACAAAGTGAACTCTACTGCACTTGCAATTCGAACCCAGCAGTTTGTTCTTAATTAACAATTTTAGGCGAACGATTTATCACCAGAATGTCTTTAATTACAAGGCGTTACTTCAATCTACAAATACTAACGTAATTGCTTGCACTACAGTTTTCCTATTGCGGT